TAATCTGTTAATATTAAATATAGATTAAGTAACAAATTCCTATGACCACAGAGCAATAAAATAAGTGGAACTTTTATTGTATTTGTAACTCGTAATAAATGTCACAGTATAGATTACTACAGATGTTAGTGTTTTTCATGCCTTTTTAGTTATTTACAATTAAATTAAATGTATAATATTAATTTCTATTGTATTTTTAAATGAATTATTAATTATATCTTAGCTTCAAAAGCTTTTATAGTTTTAAATAACATATATAAAGTTTTTGTATACTGTGACGCAATGTTTACTTACATTCCTGTTTTAATGTTTAATATAGTATTAAAATAACTATATAGTTACTGTATTTATGTCACAAATGTCTTATAAAAGCTATGTATAGATTTCGCTTAAACAAATAAATTGTATAACAAAACAGTTTTTTTATTCAACCCATACAAGAATTTAATTTTTTTAAATCTAAAACGTAGTCTTCTTCACGTCACAAATCAAAAGCTTAAAGAGTGCATAAGAAACTAAACTATCGCACAACTATTTAGTTGCGCTTTGATTCCAATAAGCTTATATGAAGGTGCTCACAATACTCTATTAGTTGTGCTACTAAATAGTTAAATTGGCTGCGAAACAATCGACAATCGCACACAGTTGTGCGATTGTTTAGTTGAAGGTGTGTGCTCTTAGTCCGATCTCCGTATAAGAACTAAAAGAAAATTTAAAAACCTATTAGTATGCTAATAAGTATCTAATTGCATAGAGGTTAAGGTCGTTTATTAAATGCACGTGAGCTGGAGCAACTCATGAGGCCGCGCTAACTCGACGATCACGGAACACTAATGTGCGTTTACTTTAAAATTATTTCTAAATCATTCGCTAACTACGTCTGCATTTTTAAATATAACAAACCTATATGAAAGTTTAAGAAATAACATCAAAAATAATGATGTTTTTATAGGTCTTATATTGGGTTTCTGAAGTTTTCATTATTTTATATTTACTGAGTGATTCATTAGTGATTAACATAAGTTTCTCTAGAGTAAAACTCACGTTACGTAGTTCGAATCTTCATTTTATGAATTTAACAAACCATAAGCACAATCGAATGGTTTAAAGAACTTGAGAAACCGCCTATTAATCCTTTAACGAGCGATTTATTCCACAAATACAAACATATGCCGACGGTAACATTCCACAACTAAGCTTATTCTATCAAACTAGACTTAATTTACTTAGTGTCCCCAGAATATATAAATTCACAAATTGTAAGCGTGTCGTGCGTAATATGAATATTTCCTGTGCAGACAGCGAGCAGACGCCACAATTGTAGGAAGGACACGGTAAAGTTACGCTAATGATGCTCCTGTGGGAAGAAATGTAGGTCGGATAATAAAATGGCTTGGAATTAAAACGTAAGTATATTAATCTTATAGTAAACCGTTGGACCTTGGGTTCAGATACTAAGTTCTGATTAGATTTTTTACATCATCATCATCATAACCAGCTAACTATACGTCTCCACCGAGGGTCTCGGAGCCTATCCTATGTTAGGGATGACTAGGCCACAGTCAACCACGCTGGTACACTACGGGTTGGATGACTTTACACATTTCTTCGATTTGTGCAGGTTGCATCGCGATTGTTGTTTTTTACATAATAAAATTTAATAATTCAACTATTTTTCGTTCTTGAAAAAAGCAAACAAAAGTAGCGCTATGAGTTTTTCAGATGATCCGTTCAACTAGCTTCTTGGAACATCCATACAAACTTTCGCATTTATATATAACGAGCTGTTGCCCGCGACTTCGTCCGCGTGGTATTAGAAAACATACGAACGATATAAATTACAAAAACCTACGTATCCCTCGGGAACCGGACATTTCTCTGGGATGAAGCTTATCTCAAGTGTACACCAGGCTTTGTTGGATATCTGTGCCAAATTTCAATAAGATATGTTGAACCGTTGCAGAATGATCGAGTGAACATTAAAAAACTAAACCTCTAACCTATGCCAAATTTCATAGAGATCCGTTCAGACGTTTAGGCTACAAACGCTAACAAACATCCATCCATCCATCTAAACTTTCGCATTTATAATATTAGTAAGATAAGAAGTAAGATAGTAAGATTTACAAATTTTTGTAAACATTTTAATTAAGATTGAAGCTTGTGATTCACGATAGTCAAACGGGATTCGAACTCAGAACCAAAAGATAATACCATATCTAGATAGGTTTCTGTCGCTATGTTTGCCCAGTGTTTAATTATCGGCGTTAGATGCCATAAAGAATATTTAGTGCCTTACTCGCAACGTGACATAAATAATGAAATTTACTTGAGTCCTCTGTTAAGGGGTAAACAAATATAGAGAACTACATACTTTAATTACTATAGGATAATGCAACGCTAATTTAATATAGGAAACATTAATGTGAGATTCCGAAAGACACTTCTACCTTACAATTTTTATCTCGGTTTAATATTTTCAAGGGAAAAAACAATAAAATGTTAATTTGTAATTCTGTTTATATTTACCTCGTCACTTTCCTTTGACAAAACACAAACGTCTCGAATTTACTTTAGTTGTTTGAGAAAATTATCCTTGTTTTTCAGACAGTAAATGTATGGTCACCACCGTAGAGACGGAACTTTGTTGGCAGTGTAAAGTTATAGATAACACGGGGGCAGTGTGGTTAGCGCGCGCGTCGCAACCCGCCATCTTAGAATTATTTTTTTTTAATTCCATAAGACCAACGCAAGGTGTTTGTGAGTGCCAGTGAAAAGTGTTTTTTCTTGTGGTAGGTTGAATTTTTTTTTTGTCTTGAAATATAGGCATCATTTACAAGATTTTTAATAGGTTAATAGTGTAACAAAGTGATAACAATTGTTTTCTTAAACAACAGTTATTTTTAAAATAACTGGTTGGATTTTATTTAATTTCTATTTCTAAACGGCTTATCAAGGAAAATTATTTCTCGTAGCCTTGTTTAGTTGTAGACTTTAACTTATTATTTTATTAGTATTAGTAACTTTTTGTTATTATTTTTAATTAAAGTTTTACAATAAATTTCTATTAAAAAAAAATAATTTCAGACTTTGCATGTAAGGATTGTTTGCACAAAATCTAGCGTTTATTTTTAACAGTATATGTACAGTAAAGTGATATATTTCGAAGTATAAAATATGGCGTTATCATAATGAATGAAGATGACAAGGGTGACGTAGCAAAATTATTTTAAAGATAACTGCTACTTTACATAAGAACAAGAATGTTTACAAACATTTTCACTACAAATACAGGGGTGTTCAACTAACAGGACTGAATCAATGCACCCTGCATTGATTGTATAGATTCGATCTTTAGATCTATACTAACAGTATAAAGAGGAAATTGTATTTTTGGATGTATCAAAATAATTCGAAAACTACTGGTCTGATTTCAAAAACTCTTTTACTATTAATATGCTACGTTATCTGTGTAACATAGGATATGTTTTTTATTTTTTTTATGCGTGTGAAATCGAGAGCAATAGTTTTAAATAATTCCACTGGATCAATCGATTAGTCGAGCGTCGGTGGCTCAGTGGTTTAAACACTTGACTTGTAATCTACAGGTCCTGGGTTCGAATCCCGCTG